AAGTCCAGCGTTCCAGGCGGCGTCGGCGATACGCCACGCATATTCCCGGACTGTCTCGGTTTTCATACGACGGGAGTTCTCAGTGATCTCGGACATCTTCCGGCTTTCGGTCTTGTGGATGAACTCCTTCCTGAAAGCGTCGCGAGCCTCGTGCCAGGATGTTTGAGCTCGGTCTCGACAACGACGGGCCCACCAGTCTTCCACCGATGGTACCCCCGATTGGGACAGCCTGTCGTCAAAGATACTGACAAACTGTCGCTCCGTGTTCCCATAGTCGTCCAGGATCGCGTCGAACTTGGCCAAGAAGTGTTCCAAGGCGATGGGTCGGTTGACACTGTCCAGCTTGGGGGCATACTTCCGGGCGTCCGCCAGAGCCTGTCGTCCTGCGGCCGCAACCCCCGCAGCAGAGGGTCTGGAAGAGCCTGGTTGGTACGGGTCGCCAGGGGGACCACCATCGCCGGGACCACCACCGCCATAACCACCACCGCCAGGGTAGCCCGGTGTAAAGCCACGGTCATCGCCAGGGAACCCGCTGCGGCGTCTTCCAGGGCCATCGTCACCAGGACCACCGCCACCATAACCATCTCCGCCCGGTCCAGGGTATCCCGAAGGGGGACCTTGTCGTCTTGGGGGACCCGAACCTCTGCCACGGTGTGAGTCGTCCCTCGCGGGTCGTCCTGTCCTGGCTGGTATCCTCCACCGTAGTGTCCGCCAGGATAGTGTCCCGACGAGCCGGCCGTTCGATACGGCGCCGAGTTCGTACTCAAACCCCCGACGTTTCCTGCAACCCGACCCGTGACATCCGGGTTGGACGCTGAGCCCGTCCGGGACGGTGCAAACGGCTGAGGTTCAAACGATCTGCCAGGGTAGGTAGGAGGCGCCCGGAGGTCCTCGGTTTCCGTCATCACTTCAGTATGCTGAAGGGTCTGGACGATCAGGGGTACTTCGTGATATCGAGGTGTCGACGCGACTGAAAAGGAGGCGGGCATCAATGGGTTCGTCACGAACGTTGCAGAGGTCTTGCCGGACGGTGACCCTTTCCGAGAGGGTGTCAGTGTTGGGTTCCCGTACGGTGCTTGTAACGAGCTTAGTCGGAATCGATCCGCCTGCTTCCTGAGCTCCCACTCGCGCTTCTCGACGTTGTAGGAGAGCCTTCTGCCGGTCGAGTACCGCGAGTTCGTACTTGGCCCGGGCCTCATGGGAGTACCGGTCGCGCCTCAGCTGTTCTTCCGACTGGTTCAGGAGGCCCCTGTTGGTCTCCTGACGGGCCAACCCGTCCTCGATGCGGGCCAGGACGTCCTGGTTGATAGCCGTCTCATGCTCCAGGGCGGCTCTGTCGGCGTTCAGTTGCGACCTTTCTTGCTCAGTAGGGGCGTTCCCGGCTTGCCCAAGCGACATGAACTGCTCCTGGACATCGTGCTCGAGTTGTCGCATGCTCTCGTGGTGCTCGTCCAAGTCCTTTTCGTGTTTTTCGCGTTCCAGGAGGAGCAGCTCGTGGGTCTCCCGGACGCGTCGTTCGGCGTCCTGCAGGAAACCCTGGGCTTCTTCCAACTGGAGGGCCACACGCTTCTGGTTCAGGTCGGCCTCCTGGACTCGCAGTTCAAGTCCACGGAGCCTGTCCTGGAGGTCATCATTCGCCTTCTGGAGCGCCGGGCAGTTGCCACAGGGCAGATTGGGACGGTTGAGCGCCGCTTGGAGACGTCGCTCGAGATCCTGGACATCGGCTTGGAGCTTGTCCTTCGCATCCTGCAGGACAGGACAGTTGCCGCACGTCGAATTGGCGCGATTAAGGGCTTCCTGTCGTCGTTGAGCGGACTTGGCAGCGTCCAGCTCCATGGTCACAAGGTGGAGCTCTTCGCGCAGGGTGGAGATCTCCTGGGTTCGGCGAGCCTCCCGCATCTCGTAGGCCGATTCTTTCCCGTCGATTTCACGGCGGGCTTCAGCCAACAGGGCCGTGAGCTCTTCCTGGTGAGACCTCTTCGTGTTCCTTAGGTCTTCATGCAAACGGCTAAGGGCGTCTTCTCGGCTGTGATCGCTCTCCATCCTGGCCGCCCGTAGGACACGTTCAGTCTTCGCGTGTGAGCACGCTAGCTCCAGCTCACGGTCGTAACACTCGTGCAGGTACGCCAGAGCCTTCCGGTAGTCATCCTGGCGACGAGCTTCGTGGGCTTCCACGGCCCGCGCCAGCTCTTCAGCCATTCCGACCAGACGTGTTTCCTTGGCGTCCAGGAGTCGAGCTCTCTCGTCGTAGAACTGCTTCAGGAACCGCTGGGCTTCGATCTTCTGGTTTTCTTCAAACGTCCTCATCAGATCTCCGTAAGCCCGTCCGAGCTCCAGGCCTTCGCCGTTGATCACCACCAGAGTCGCGACCACGGGGATATCGGGGTCGTTTGGGATAGGCGTCCACGAACCCGGGCTGCCGGTGATCTCTTGGACCAGGGAGATGCTTCCGGGAGCCGGACTTGGGTTTGCCAGGCAGAGTTGGTATTCGTTTCCGGCATCCTCGACGTCTTGACCCGAGTCTTCTGGTGCCATAACGTCTTCGGTCATGACCGCCAGCTTCTTCGGGGCCGAACGTGTGTCCGACCTGTCGGTCGGGGGCGACACGTTCGGTGAGCCGTCGGCTTCGCGCTTCCTTTCCGGCGGTGGGATTGTTGGTCCTGCCGAGTTGTCGTGGTCGGCCGGAGCGACAGTCTTCGTCCGGGACGTGCGTCCCAGGCTCTCGGTCTCGGGAGCCAGTCCTGCCAATCGGCGGGAATAACGCGTAGCCTTGCTTGCTTCAGTTGAGGATTCCGTCGACATTTCGTCCTTGATTCCGTTGCAAACGCCTACCCTGCTGCTCCACCAGAATGTCACGGGGTTTTATGACAAGTTGATGGGTAGGCGCGGCGCGGGCAAACAAGGAGACTCAAACTCAGGTGCGGAGTTCGAGGCAAAATGTGAAGTCGAGTTAGTTAAAGGTGTGGTTGTAGCCTTAGTTCTAAGGCTCTAGGTTTTACTGCTCGTCCGTTGACGGTTGAGGGATCTCCGTCTTGGGTTGATCGGCAATACTCGGACGATGGTCTTGGTCTTCGGATCTGGGGGGTGTATAGGGTCTGGGAGGTCTTGCCAAGACTTGGTGGCAACGCGGTCTTCGCGGAGGCGTGGGGGTCGATCTTGGTCTCGACCGGCTCGTAGTCCAGCCAGGGTTGGGTCCCTGCAGCCGCACCGTGACACCCATCAGCGCACTGAATCGATGACACGCGACCCAGGGGATTGCGGCTTGGCTGTCGCTGACCATCAATGCGTCTGTTTACCCGCACTTGTACATGTACCTTCAGTAACCCTATGCACGGTCGATTTGCACTTTAGTCACCCACATGCGAGCTCGGTGTGTTGGGAGCAATAGCGCTCGCGGGTTCGCTGGCAGCAGGATGTGGCGCACTGAAATCTGCGTCCTTGAAGCGATTGGTTCGCCCACGTAATGGTCGTGAATCGGCCGTCCTCACAGGAGGCTTGGGCTCAACCTCGTAACAGTTGTATCGCTCGTGATTCACATTGTATTCTCGCACCCACCGCATAAAAAGTTGCACGTCCTTTCTCATCCACTTGTTCCTTGAAATGGGCATTTGATCCACCACCGCCACACACCACATCAAATTTCCACGTCACCTACTTGAGGAAGAAATCACACGTCTTCAGATGCGGCACAAACCACCCGAGATTGGGAGTTGATCCAAGTCGTGCCGGAAAGAGACCACAGCACCTTTCGGGGCATCACCAATGCCACCGGTGTTCCCAAGAGCGCCTAAGGCCGTCACTTCAAGGCTGGAACAATCCTTCGTCGAATATCTCGGCCCAAATAACTCCTTGCTGACGAAAGTACAAACGTGACAAGCTTGCTGTCTATGGTGCACAGGTCAGCACGAATGGGGAAGAAATATGAGCATACCTCATCGATCAAGATCGGAACGACATTGCCACTTCGACGATCGACGAAGCCGATGGTAGCTCGCTAGATCATCGCACCGCCCCTGTCTCTTAATTCTTTTGGGGCGCCGACCATGGTCGGCGCCCCACAAGAATTCGTATTTTCGGACATGTAAGACGTAGTCCGCCTCGATGAGAAATGGTTCAACGAGTCAGGAACAGTCGAAAAACGTACCTTGTCCTGCAAAGCTCCAAATTGGCGAGCTTTCAAGTCGAACCGCTTCAAACTAAAAGTTATGTTCTTCACTACCGTCGCTTACCCGCGTCTTGACGTTTGCTTCAATGGTAAAATAGTAGGCCATTGCGTCCCAGTCGCCTTCTTTGCACAACTCTCGAAATCGTCCTGCCAGGACAATGGTCACTACGTTGGTGAACGTTGATGCTTTGACGTAACAGTAGCTTCGATGCCAAAAAAGTTGTGCCGTCGATCAAGGCGCGGTTTCCATGCAGAACAAATATGTTGTCCTACAGCACGACAAAGTGACTCGACACTTCTCAATTGATGAATTTGGCAGACCTGTCAACGGACGGTTGGACGTTTGTACTCTGGCGGCAGCCTCCAAACAGTCCTGACCTCAATGACTTGGACTTGGAGTTATTCGCTTCGATTCAAACCCTATAGCACAAGACTGTTAGCCGGTCGGTGGATGATGTGATCATTTGAACTTTGGATGCCTCAGTAGTACCAAGTTGAACAACGTCGTCATACCTTGCAGGCAATTGTGCGCCTCTGTCATGATTTGGTTCATGGCAGAACAACGAAGTAGCCCCATCTAAAGTAGGATTCTAAGAGACGATTGGAACACTCGTGGTAAACGTTGCAGTTCCTGCCTCGCAACTCTCTTTCGTGTCAACTCGTTACTTCATTAGTTCACTGCTTCTCTTGATCAACTGTATGACCTATAAAATGTACAGATTTTGTAGCAAAACAATCAGGTTAAAAGGTCACATTAACGAGGGAATCCCTCGATGAAGCATGGTCGCAGTGTAGTGGGATATAAGAAGTGCAAAATAATGTCGTATTATACCAATGGCGACCCTATGCTCATCCTTCACAAGTCCTACGCAATGTGCTACTTCGACAATGTCAACTAACCATTCGCGTGAGCACCGTAACAATCTCGCCAAGTGTCGCGGAGGTAATCCTAATTGAGTGTAAATTGGAAAGTGATTGATTAAGCCGAGGTTAAGCTAGACTACGAGAATGTTCGCTTTCTAGAAATTCTGCATTTTTATTAGGCAGCGCTAGAGCGATGTGGCTTCCATTAGCTTTCACTTGTGCAAGGCTAATGTAACATGCAGAATGGGCAGATTATGTATGACGTGGCCTTAAGGCGATATTTGATTTGTGGATCAAATATTT